TCACCCATTTAAAAACTTGGAATTACTTATCGACTTTATTAGTTCGAAATTTGAACCTACTAGAATATTTAAATATGTTGAAAACCAGAAAACAATTAATTGGGGTATAAAGGATTTTTTTATTCTGTTTGCTTTTTTTTTTTCCTTTTGTTAAGATATTTCTACATTTTACATTTCGTTTGATACATTTTTATAATATTTATTCTTTATCCTTTCAAATGTACAGAAAACTCCTGTACGAAGCACTCGTGGTAGAACTTCTCAAACTTTATCGAATGATCAAAGTTTAGATTCGTATGAATGTATATTTTATTTACGTTTTAATGTAATTAATATATTTAATATACGAGTTTTCTTATTATTATATATTAAGAACGTATTTTGAGGTTGGAAAAAGGAATGATAAATATTCAAGAGCAAGTGAAAATCGGCTTTAATCATCTTTCAAGTGAAATCCGCTCTCTAGGTTCTTCTAAATCGAAACAGAAATCAATCAAATATCATCAAAAATCAATTAAAATCAACGATTTAATCAATTTATCTGATGAAATTGATGATTATGAAGTAGATACCGAACAAGAAGAAATTGAGGAAATTAGTCCTGTATATGAAGATTCTTTTTCAGAAGGAGGAAGAGAATATAAGGATAGTAAATTGCAAGAGAAGACACAGAAACAACTCATTAAAAAGAAACGAAAAGAAATCAGGGTTAATTCTATTAATATGTTATTATGCTTACGTAAACTTCATTTATAAAATTAATGATTGAATTTCTTATTTTAATATGTTTATATAATTATTATTTATAGAACGAAGTAAAAATCTTATTACAAAGTACGAAGTTTGATAAGTTTCTGATTTATTACACAAAGAAATTTAGCGAAATAGTCCTGCAACTTGAACGAGAATTAATACCTCGCATTCAAATAATTCTCAAGTAATGTGAATTTCAAATAACTCTGAGGTTGATCTGAGACGTACTATCCAATTATCATAAGAATGGGCGACGAAAATGGAAAGATGGAAAACTAAATGAAAACCAAAAAAAGGAAAAAAAGCGTATAGGCCATATAACAAATCATTTATCTGAGGTAATTTATTTTTTTTTAAAAAAAATGTTATCAGAAATCTTAATGTTTTCTACTTAATTATAGAAACGTGGACGAAGATTAAAAGGAGCTTTATCCATGACTAACAATCCAAAATACAGAGAATGGATAAAGGGACATGGCATTAAGAACGTAAATGAGATATTAAGTAGAAATGATTACCATTCGCCAAAGGAAAGCAATCCAGAGAATGATCCCAGTTCTTCTATAGAATGCAAGCGACTTTTAGTATATAAGCCATCCTGGAGAACTGAAAAAGTAAGTTGACAGTTTTAATTTAATTTACCAATATAATCTATTAATTTAATATGTCGATTTAATGATTAGTTAACATATTTTTTACATATGATCGATGAATATGTTGAGGAATACTTTCCAGAAAATAAGAAAGTATGACCTCAAATAGTAATGGATGAAGTTTAGAATAAGGACGCTTCTACAAATACTATTTGGTGGATTATTAATGATAGAGGTCCACTATCACCGCTTTTTAAATCAATTGATTTGGAAAAGGATGAATATTTAGGTAATTATAACATTTTTATAGTATTTAACAAAATTTGGAATAACTTTTTTAATGAAATTTTATAGATTCTCAAATACAAAAAAAAAAGGGTAACATCATATGATAATATTATAAGACACAATTTAACCAACCGAAACCTGGATGATTCATAACAAATATTGACATCACGAGAAATGTTCTAGTTGACGATCAAAATTTGGGTAATTATATTTTTAGTAAATGTTTAAGAAAATTTTATAATAACCTCTATTTTTAAAATTTTAAAGGTGATTTTATGAATGAATCATGATCACGACCGACATCACATGATAATGTTATAAGAGAGAGTAGTGATAAGAATAAGGAAGACATTAATGGTAATTATTGTAACATTATTAATATTTTTTTAGAAAATCCAAATCCAATAACTTTCTGAATTTTTTGAAGTAGAACCTACGTATGATGGAGTATCACAATTTACGTATAATGAAGTATCGCAATCATTACAAAAAAAGTATCATTATCAAAATTGCGCGAAAATTCAAGAAAAAGAAGTTTGAATAATGGTGATGATGACAAGTTATTCTAATCTAAAGAATTTTTTTTTTAGAAAAGGGATAAATAACTTTAATATTTTATACATTATACAATTAGATTGCGAATCACGATCATCATTAGAACAAGCCGCATCACGCGATATTATTTCAAAAAGAAAATTGAAACTAAAGAGCAGTAATCGTGACGATAATGATGAGTTATATCTTAGTGGTAATTATTATTTTTTTTTGAAGATTTTTTAGAAAAGGGACAAATAACTTTACTATTTTATGTATTATACAATTAGATTATGAATCACGATCATCATTAGAACAAGCCACATCACGCGATATTATTCCAAAAGAAAATTAAAACTAAAGAGCAGTAATCGTGATAATGATGATGAGTCATATCTCAGTGGTAATTATTATTTTTTTTTTGAGGATTTTTTAGAAAAGGGACAAATAATTTTACTATTTTATACATTATACAATCAGATTACGAATCACAATCATTATTAGAATAAGCTGCATCACGCAATATTATTACAGAAAAAATATCAAGATCGAATAGCAAGAGCAAAGGCAATCTTGGTAATTGCAAATAAGAAAATTTGCTAATGTAGTGGTTTAAATAACATATTT